TCCGTCGACTGAAGTTGTAGTGGTGGTGTTCGGTGAAGGAGCTAGGCGGCGTCGGCAACAACTTTAGTTGTGACTACCATTCGTTGCCGACGCCGCCCAGGAGGTAGATGTGGATCAAGAAGAGGATGAAGTTGAGGAAGATGAAACTTCAAGAATCCCCCTATAGATGCTCAAACCACAACTCTGGCAAACTCAACACGTCCATATAACTCTTCTGCCCATAACAGGATCAAATTTATGTCTCTCCGGATACACCCGATCTTCAAGAATCTACATTATGTATTCCACCTGCGACATGGCCTTCACATTGGCCACCGAACCACAAGAAACATCTAGTCTCAAATATCCCATCTCTATGACACATAGACGATTTACTGCGGACCAAAATTCACCTTCTTTCAGCATAACCGATGAGGAGATCACCATATCCTATCTTAACCATTTACTGACCCATAATCGATCTCTCATTCCTTGAGCACAGGAGGTAGGAAAAGACAACCCCGATGCAGCAAGTAACATCCCTTTCCATCGACTGATCATTCAGCCTTAGGCTACAATCCTAGAGTGGATCACCACAACATCTTCTTTCTTGAGTCTTGCGACTCAGATTGGAACTACTTTGAGCAAGGTCCTCGGTATCTCTAAATCAGCTAAACTCCATAGGTCTTCACCAACCAGACCTAAACATCCACATACACTTAGGCCCAAACGATTATCGGTCTCATTATGCACAAGCATAGGAGATAGGCCGACAACGATGGGAATGACTGCAATTACGTTAGTGCTATACCACACTATCTACCATCCCCTAGCTCCTTAGAAACCTTTTTGACCCTCCTCGATCCCTTACGAGTCCTGTGCTTTTAGTAGTATGGGCCCTTACTACCTTCCAAACCTATCTGTACATGTCCCGAGAATTTCCTCAAAGTCTCTAAGTCACTATACCAGACGACTATCAATCTTAGATACCTGTGCCACCACAGGCACACACTACCGCCCATCCTAGACTCTCTCACTCTAGGAATCTTCTCACACATGAGCACACACTAGAATGCTTTTCTAGGAACTCTACCACTTCCAGGTGTGTTAGCACACCCAAATACTTAGAGAAACCCATCCCAAACTTCCTATATTCCTAACTTAGACTTCCTTATGCACATGTGCTCACTAGAACACTCTAACACTCCCCCAAGATCATTAGGAACACTTACCCAAACCTGCCATCAGCTGCAAAAGAAACTCCTACCAATACGAACTAACTTCCTTACAAATACAATTACATGCAACAAGGATTAAACAGTTCTTCGACTGAAGTTTCCTGCACTACAACGGCTGGACTCAAACAAGAGCTGCGTAATAGGCCAAATCAGACATTCTAAAACTATTTAATCCTTATGGCATGAAACTTATCGTATTCGCTCAATAGCTAGCTAGCATCAATATAATTTCACATAGCACAAAGAAAGCAACATTCGAGCAGAAAAACAATAGGCAAAAAGGCATCGTAAGGATCAGGCAATTCTAACACTCAATTTTTGGGTATCCTTAGCCTACACACTATCCTGCATATCTAACAACTCATACATCTCACACAAAAGGCATCTATCCTAAGTATACTCTCTAGCATCCAATGTTGAGTAGATCCTTAGCCTATCTTATAGCATGAATATCATACTATAACACATATAACAACAAGTCAAATACAACATATATGATAAGTATGGATATTTTAGGAAATAATTTTTCGAGCTCCGACTGACTGTACACATCACATCTTCCTCTTTCTTTTCATAAAATGAATATTCTCCAAAAAAAAAGGTTTAGCAAAAGTCTCAGCTCCATATTTTGAGTTTGGAATCCTACGAGTGTTCATCCAAATCCCTTAAACCAGGGCTCTGATACCAACTTGAAACATCCCAAAAACCACGGCTAAATTTTTCATTTTTAAAATAATATAACATCCATTTTTAGTAAAGTTATACCCATTTGTTCATAAACCATTATTCCAAAATCAAAGTTAATAAGAAGATAATGCGGAATCTCAAATCATAATTTGTTGATGTGTGTGTACAATCTTGCCTTCGCAATCCGATGAGTGCTTGCAAAATATTTAATCCACAACTGTAAGCACAAAGCTTAGTGAGTTCCCTAAATATCTCATATGACATAGCATAACAATCAACTATGGATTATCAGCAACCTTGGGGACTATCAACAGTCCCATGGAATTTCACCAGTCTAGGAGTTATCAGCAACTCAGTTCACATATAACAGAAATCAACAGATAAGACCTAGCTGGTCAACATGCCAAAGTGAAGGCCATGTCGTAGGTGGAATATGTAACGCAGATTCTAGAAGATCGGGTGTATCCGGGGAGACATCGAGTTCATGTTGTTATAGGAAGAAGAGTTATGTGGAGGTGTTGAGTTTTCCAGAGCTATGTTTTGAGCATCTATAAGGGGATTCTTGAAATTCCAAGAGGAGGATGAAGTTGTGGATCAACTTTCCAAGTGTTCTAATCCCCAACAGATAAGACCCAGCTGGTGAACATGCATATACATGTCGTGGGCTCTGATCCCCACTATGTGGCCAGCTGTCAGGCCGTGGGAAATGATTCCCACTCCGTGGCGATAGTTTTCACCCAAATCCACCTCAACTTCAAACAACCATAACTTCTTCGTTTCAACCCGTTTTCGACGATCTTTATATCCATGGAAATGCATTGACGAGCCCCACACTTTTATCTAGTTAATTTTGGCTTAACACATGCTGAACTAAAATCCTTAATTCATGAAAGAAGTCTGGAACATCATTTTTCTCATTTTACCCTTTGACTCCAAAACACAAACCAAAGGCATAGATCACATAAAAACTTGATCCAAGGCATTTACTTAATCCATTTATTGTCCACAGTCCCGAAAAAAAACTTCTCGAAACAGGATGTTACATTTTACGAGGTAAATATTAATTCAAACTAAGTCACAATATATTTTCATGCTGTATAGGACTACCTATTTCCCTTTTTACATAAGTGTGTAGTCAGATTTTCTTTTTACATATGTGACTAAATTATAACATTTTCCCTTTTACATACTTGACTAAAGTACAATAAGGCTATTAACTATACTCCACAACGTGTTTACTACCACATCAACTTCACTACATCCTTACCCACCTTAAGAAATACCCACCACTCTACATCACCACTTTTATATAAATAAAATATAAAAGAGAGAGAGAGAGAGAGAGAGAGAGAGAGAGAGAGAGAGACGGGAGGGGAGGGGGAATTATAGGGAGAAAGGAAGAGGGAGAAAGAAAGAAAGAAGAAAAGAGAGATTGTGAATTAAGCTCCGTAGAGATCCTTATTTTACACCACAAGGTTCTGACTCTTGTTTCTCACCATGAGGTGGCATTGTGACATAAGCCGCAATGTTCCCACTTCACATATACACCATATGACCTAAGTACAAACAAAAAGTAGCAACAGTAGGTCCGATCCTAAGCACATGTGTGCGACCGCATATGGCTGGTGTCGTCAGGGCACAAAATTTTGACCCTTGCGGTTTCATCATTAATCCGTCACTACTAATTTGTCGCTATACATCACTAATATGTCCTTATTTTGTTGCTAATCCGAAAATTTAGAGGGCTTTATTTAATTTTCACATAAGGTCTTTAAAATCAACTTACCAATGACCGTTAACTGTTGACCGTCCATTAGCAACATGAATATATTGCGAGATAGTTGTTCCATCTCTTGTGATTAACCTATTTCTCTTATACTTTTAAAACTATTTCCCTTATACTTTTTAAAAACAATCACATGCAAGTTTGACAAAAACTTTCTTGATTTTAATGGTCTTACGTATTAATGTATGATACATGGAGGAGCCAATATCAACTTTGTTCATTTATGTATATATATTCATGAATTGATGTTATGTATCATTAAATATTTACTCTTCTGTATTTTTATCTCTTATTTTTTAATACCAAGTTGTGTGTTAAAATTTGTGCTTAAAAGTAATTTTGTTGTTCATTTTAGGCAGTTAGTCTCATTAAACATGTATAAAAATTCAACAGGCCAAATGATAGTAGCGTTGGTACGTTAAGCATTAAAGTTGACCATATGGGTCATATGTGGGCACGTTTCATGCTAAAGAATACCAAACATATGAAAAGAAAGCTTACCCATCCAAATGTGTGTTATTGCCAACAAGGTATGTCCAAGAGCTTTTAAGGGCTATATACAATTAATTTTTGTGATGCTATTTATCGAGGCATTGTATAATGTGTATAACAATTATTCATCAACACACATGAAAGTGTTTATCAAATTACGATGATACGTACTGAATCTGAGCCCTGGAGATCCCTTAATGTTACTTCCCCATTTTATTTAATAAAGAACCATAAAAGTTTCACTAGCCACAACACTCATCACATGTCAACTTGTCAAGTTAATTGTTACAATTGTACAGAAACAAAGACGACATGAAGCTTGCATTGGGAATGAAATACGTTAAAGAGGGATGAATTTCAAATTAGAATCAATAGATCTGATTAAAAACGACTTGAAATAATTTTCTTAGCTAAAAATTGTAAATGACAGTTAAGAGCTACAAAAGATTGCATTACGGAAACATTTCAAGTCCATAAACTTGTGGATATCACACTTGCTCAAACACACAGTTGCGTCCCCAGTCCCCATCATCACCAAACCAACAATAAGATCAATGTATTGTAGTATAAAAATCGTTCTTTATCACATCAATCTCCCTCTTCCTATATGTGAAAACATCTTATTGATTGATCCCAATTAACATGGTATATTAAAAAATTGGAGCAATATGCAGTGAAATTGTGTTCCAGTGTTATTAATCAAACCACATGAACATTTATTTGTCCATGATTAACTAGAAGAAAACAAATTTAAAAAAATAAAAAAGTTGGTAAATGTAATCAGTCAATGTCCAAGAAAAGCTATATGTCTTCCTCACTTAAACATATTTGATGGAAACGGGACTCCTAACTGAATGTTTGGCGGAGTTCCATATTATAGCTCCTTCACCGAATCGAATCTTTGGAAGAGTGCCTATGGCAATGAATGTCACTTGGTAAGATAGCTTCTGGTTAACCGTTGAAAAGGCAAGTGTAGAGGGTGACACAGCAATAGCCACGCCTGGTGCTGTTGAAAGTTTCACTGTGTAACATGAATTAGCATCTCCAACATTTGTCACAGTCCTTGTGTATGATTTTGAGACATTAGAACTTAGTGTGATGGCAAATGAAGGATAGTTTAGCTGTGCGGAGGGTATTCCTTGACCATCAACACAAGCGACTTGCTTTTGGACAATAGTCATAACTTGCTCACTCGTGTATCCCAATCCACACAAGTAGGGTATGTAATCATCAGGCTGGATATCGTAAATGAGTCCAGGGTCACTTGCTTTAGATGGATTGACATGGCCAGATCCAACTGCAAAGAGGCTAGCTGGAAGTTCCCGTTCATCCTCAATTGGTTGATTTTTGAGGTTGATCAAATCAGCAGTGGTCATAATTGCAGACTTAATTGCAGCAGGTGACCAATCAGGATGTGCACTTTTCAACAATGCTGCTATCCCACTAAGATGTGGGCAAGACATTGATGTACCTGACACTACGTTAAAAGGTGTTGCTGTTGTGTTATCAATAGAGACAGGCCATGCTGCAAGAATACTCACACCAGGTCCTATAATGTCGGGTTTCAGAATTCCAGGGGTTGCTAGGCTAGGTCCTCTCGAAGAGAAAGAGGTTACTTGAGGAGCTGATTTATCTCCAATCACAGTTCCATGGAATACAATACCAGCAACAGGCGATGAAGTGGAATTCATGTATTCTAAAATTTTAACGCCATCTTTGTAACCAACATATGATGCAGGAATTACATGAGCATCGACTACTGTGCTATCCCCATCTGCCTGTAAGTTTCTTAGAATCATAGCTGCTCCACCGGCATCTTTTACTGTCTGCCCTTTTGCGATTCTTCCTACACCACCACCTCTCACACACATCACTACCTTTCCTTTGACCTCGGTGCTGTTTAATGATCCTGGAGCACAAAAGACCTTATTTATATCGCCATTCATCCCAGGGTATACGAGAGGCAAAAGAGTTTGTGGGAAATCTTTAGGCTGGAAAAGAGATTCTCCATTCAGTAAAACCCCATTCCCAAGTTTAACTGTCGCCTGTACCTTTCTATCAACTGTACTAGCACCAACAGTCAGAATCCATGGAGCTTCGTTGGACACTGTAGAATTAAAAGGCCCAGAGTTGCCTGCAGAACAACTAAAAAATATCCCTTTCTGTATCGCAGCAAAGCCCCCAATAGCGATTGAATCCGTATAGAAAGGTCTAGAGGGTCCACCAATTGAGAGAGAAAGCACGTCCACACCTTCGTCAATAGCTGCATCCATAGCAGCTAACAAATCGCTATCAGCACAACCACTTTCATCACATACTTTATACATTGCCACGTGTGCAAGAGGAGCCATCCCTACAGCAGTTCCATTGTCATTTCCAAGTGCAGTAGCACCTTCAACAAAGTTTCCAGCTGCAGTACTTGAAGTGTGCGTTCCATGTCCTTCTTTATCAAGTGCTGAACCAGAACCACCACTAACAAAGTTCCTAACACCGATCAATTTGTTATTACACCCGGCAACTTCGCATTTGCCTTTCCATTTTGCTGGTGGAGGGTCGATTCCTGTGTCGTTAAAAGAAGGATGATCAGGAGTAATCCCTGTGTCCAGAACCCCGACTATGATTCCCTTCCCATAGTTTGAACCTCTCCAGAAACCTAAATTCTGGTGCAACCCCAAGAACTTAGGAGTATGAGTTGTATGTAAAGACAACACGCTTTGTGGACGTACGGATATAACTCCATCTTTTTCTTCCATTTCCTTCACTTGATCAACGGTAAGTTTTACTGCAAAACCTGTAAGTACATTACGGTATGCGTGAACCATCTGTGGTTCTTCATCCGCATCTGCTGCAGTTGTAGGCAAGAATGTGTGATACCAGCTTTCAAGGTCTTCGGATTGAGCAAAGGTGTGGGCGCTCGGAGAGCTTAGCTGGACAATGTATGTCTTAGTTTCTTTGGCTGCCACCGGTGAGAGGTTCAAGATGGCGGTGATAGAAAAAAGCAAAATGATAATAGGCCTGTTCTCCATGATTGTTGAAGAATTTGATGATGTACATCTTTACATTGAATGTATATATAGTTGATGTCTTGGCCGGCATAAAGCGGTGAAAGCCTTTGATAGATGTAACTTTAATGTAACTTTAGTCAAAACTTAGTAATATCCGTAGAAGCTAAGCGATTTACATAAGCCTAGGTAGCATCGAGAAATATTTAATGGTAAGATAACTGCAAATTTCATTCATTACAGTTAAAAATTATAAACTTTATATGATGTACTTCAATTTTAAGTCATTGGCCATACATATTGTAATACAAAAATAAACCAAAGAACACGTACATTTCATTAATTCAACAAAGTTCACCAACACTAAAATTAGGTCTAAAATACAATGTCTAAACAATTAATACAAGAAAGTTGGTTTTAACGACGAACATTTACCGCCGACGAAATGGAGTCGGTATATATATGACCCTACGGCTTCGTCAATGAAGAGTTTTTAGAACATTTTGAAATTTTGAACTTTTGCTGACGGTAGGGTAGGTGGACAATTATAACACCCAATTTTCGTTGTCAGCGGCCACTCATTATTTAAAATTATCGTTGCTAATATTTATTTTAAAATAAGCTTAAAATCTTTTTTCTTATAAATTTTTTAATTTCAAATAAGTTTTTCTAATACCCGTGATGATATCCTTTAGAGAACACCTAAAGCAACAACTGCAACAAAGAATATTAACATTAGCCGCGACAAATGTAGTCGAAAAAAAACACATTTTCGTCGCTTATAGTTTTAGTGGTGAGATGTCGTTGCTAATGCGTCACCACTATTGCTCCATAGATAATACTCAGGTCGCCACTATTGGCGTCATTGCTATTGGATGCCGTCGCAATACACAAAATCGTCGCAATTGTCCGTCTCCGCTATTGAGTAATTCTGGTACACCAACATAATTCAGTGTTCCGATATGCAATTGCATGCGTTCAAAGAGTCGCTAATGGTGCTTCGTCACCCCTATTGGTGTTGCTAGAAAAAACTACCTATATCGATCTTCGTTTTTCCCATCATTCCCCTAATTGTTTTGGGTGACTTGACTACTAAACGATCGAATCATATCTCCTAATGTTGCTAGAAACGCTAGGTTTTTAAGATAAGCATTAACATCCGCCTATGAAGTAAATATATAAGTTAAAATAACAAACTAAGAAAAACCAAATAATTAGTACTTAACAATTAATTCGCAAATGCATTAAGTCCTTAACAGTTTAACAAACTATCAACCTACCAAATTTATAATAAATCAATTAAGTCATTAACAATGTAACAAACTATCAAACTACCAAATTCATAACAAATAAATTACGTCCTTAACAATTTAACAAACTATCAAACTACCAAATTCATAACAAATAAATTAAGTCCTTAACAATTTAACAAAATATCAAACTATCAAATTCATCACAAATACAATAAATCCTTAACAAATTAGCAAAGTACCAAACTACTAAAATTCACAATAAAATGCACTAAGTCCTTAACAATTTAGCAAAGTTCCAAAGTACCAAATTCATAACAAATACACTAAGCCCTTAACAATTTAGCAAAGTACCAAACTACCAAAGTCCTTAAGAATTTAAGAAGTAACCGGGTTTGTTGTGGTGCTTGTGACTGTGACTGCCACTAAGAGGGAGCACTAGTACCCACTGTGGAAGGAGGTTTACTCCCGATGCATGTCACATGTCCCCTTGGAACACCCAAGACAGTCTCAAATATGCCTATCTAATCAACCGGGCTCAGATAACTAGAGGATCATAATTAAGCATTATACTTTTTTGAGTCCTTAACAATTAAGTACTTATTGTAACACCTATACTTTTTATCTTTCAAAATTTACCATGGTCGTAAAACCACTATGCAAATCGATTATAGTAAAATATGGTTTTACAAAAACCTTTCATTGATTTATCAAAGTTTACAAACGTTTGGAGTTACAACAACAATATCAACAACCATAGTAAAAGAGAAAGGATAATACAACCTGAAGACTTTGCTAAAGAGAAATGATAATACAACCTGATGACTTTGTTAAATCTTCTATAAGACTTCTCTAGCATCATCTCACTAAGCTTTACTGTGATATGAGTACAATGTTGGAATATTTCACTATATGTGGCCATAGGACCATTTATGCAATACGTTTTTTTTAATGTTGTTATATTTATGTATTATGACAACAATTATGCCAATTTAATATAATTGGTATCCCAACTTTCCTTAATGTTACTTGATGGAAGTAACTAAAACATAAATAGGGGTGAAATTGATTTCTCTTAGATGTCAATAACAACACAAAAAAAGGAATATAGGTTTCTCTCTAATTCTTGAAGATATCCCATAGAACACGAATCAATTCCTTGTGTAAATCTCCATCAAATTATGCATCCAAACGGGAAGCAAATGCCTTCATCTTCTCATTCACGTATTCTTGTGAAGATCAATCCTTCAAGTACGCATTCTTATTCTCTTATATATATATATATATATATATATATATATATATATATATATATATATATATATATATATATATATAGGCTTAGGTTATTCTATTCAATGTAATTATTGTGTTATTGTATGCATAAATGTGGGCCAATCAAATTTACTTATTTTAAGAAAGTGATTAATATATATTATTGAATTAAATATAATTGAAAAATATCATCTTAATTAATTACAAGGGTAATTTAGTCAATTGATGTAGATTTAATAAAGGAAAATTGTATTTTTAAGGGATCATATATTCTATTAATTTTAAAAATCCGATTTTACGAATTATAATTCTTTTTATTCGGACATTCTGACAGAATAGTTTTATGAGTATATTCAAAAATAAAAATATTCTTGAACCTATTTCTTGATCATGAATTTAAAAACTTCTTGTAGAATAACAAATTCTTGAACAATCAATTGAAGAATAAAAACAAAAAATACATTATTTTTTATAGAATACGGGTAACAATTGTTAAGAATTACATTTATTGTTAAAGAATAAAACAAAAAAAAACTTTCAAAACGGGAAAGAAAACATCAAAATCTAGCAACGACTAATACATTCTAAAAGAATAATGTGGTCTGTTTCAATTTTGTGGTCCGTTCTTCAAGCATCAACTTCTGTGATTCCAACAGAATTGGAATTCGTGATTCCATTACAACAGAATTGGAATTCGTGATTCCATTCCAATAGAATTGGAATCTCACCAATATCATCCATTGAATCATCTACATAAACATAGTTGATACCTTTTCAGAATTCAACCTTGTTGCGATTACTCGAGCTTGACTTCTCTAGTTGGTGGTGCTAATTGCAAATAGTAAAATGGTTCACATTATTCCAAGATTCTGTAATTGTCAAATACCAAATGCAAGTAAAAATTCATCGGGGAAGGACACACATGGCCTCCTGTAACATATTGTATGGCTGTAACATATTGTAAGGCAGAGTAAACATAAAGAAAGCAAAAGCAGTTAGTTCCATCCAAACTCAAATTATACAAAGGAATCATAAAAACAACAAAAAAAAATCTCTACCTTTAGATGGAGCAGCCGGCTGTGACAACCCCACCTCCACCTTCTTCTTCGTCTTCTGCAACGACCACACACTCTAGTGTGGTGTTTTCTTCTTGTTCTGTCGATCAAAGCACAAAACATACACCACCACCAAATCACTACTTCTAAGAAACAGAAGTTGATGCAGCTAGAGGCTGCTAGAACAAAAAAAAAACTAATTTCTTCCTTCTTCATTTCCTGTGAATCAATAAACCCAAATTCCCTTCATTTTCATTGATATCCCAGCAAACCCAAACATCCCAACAATTTCTATCAAACAAATAAACAAAATCCCAAAAGAAACTTTTTTTTTTCGTTTTACTATTGAGGTATCAGAATAAAAAATCAACCATCTTTATGCATAAAAATGTGAACTTTTTACAAATTTAAGCTATGAACATGAAAAATCAACCATTTTTTTTTGCAAAAAGTGTTAACACTTCACAACTTTGAGGCATTTGAATGATAAATCAACCATCTTTTAGCATAAAAATATGAACTATCAAAAACCCATAAATATTTTCAGATAATTGGAGCAAACAAACTCTCTGTAATTACTTTTGAGGAAGATGAAAAGAAAAGAAAGACTACCTTAATTATAGCGAATCGGTGCTTCCAAATTCCAATAACCACGTTCCTATTTCCCCATTTCTTTACAAATTCAAAGCAAACCAGAAGAATTTTCTTCAGCTTCTTGTACCTCAGCCTATACCGACCTCAACCTATTAGATTCGACACTATTTTGGACCACAAATTGCTTTACAAATTCCAATTTCAGGTACCTTTTAACCTTTTCAGTCCTTTTCAAATCGATGAAGCCTTTTCGTGCACCTATAAATGCGACATCAACCTCTTTAATCACCTACAGATCAAGAAAACCATCAAGAATGAATCATGGCGGCGATGGTGCTAAAGACCATAGTAAGGAGGGTGGTGGTGATGGAGGAGACGAGGTCAGGTACAGGGGTGTCAGGCGTCGTCCATGGGGGAAGTATGCGGCGGAGATCTGCGATCCTACCAAGCAAGGTGTTAGGGTTTGGTTGGGGACTTTTGCCACGGCGGAGGAGGCTGCCAGAGCTTATGATCGAGCAGCTTTCGATATGAGAGGTCACATGGCAGTTCTGAACTTCCCGGCAGAATACCCTCCGACATTTTCTGCTGCTGCTTACAATGCTTCCACCAGGGCTACCACCTCTTCGTCATCCATGGCTACCCTCACTATTAAACCTTTCCCCCATCGATTATTTTTGGATAATCAGCGATGGTTTTCCGAACACGATAGCGTCAATACCCTGTAGGATGCTAGGGCTTTATTGGGTGGGAGATTAAGGAAGACACACTTATTTATTTAGGTTATAAGTCAATACCATGATTATAGGGACTATTTTTGGAAGTTACTAAACAAATTACTAAATTACCCTTA